ACCGACATGTTAGAATAATCTTGTATGAGAATATTTTATTTTATGTTTAAATAATGTTTTGTTGATAATTTGAAATGGTCAAATTATCAAATCGAGTTTTAAGGGAAGATGGGTTGACAGGAGACGTGTTAGGAGTAGTTAACATTAATTTAGGATAGTTTGTTTTATTTATTTTCTTTATTTATACCTCAAAGGTTAATGTACAAAAAAATATAGAGTAATAAAATGGTGCCCTACGGGGCCAAAGTTAATATTTTCTCTTTCATTATTTTCTGAGTTAGAGTTAAGAAATGATGAAATGTGTTTGGTGTTTTTATGTTATTATCAAAGGATTTTGGGTTTGAAAGATTTGTAACACAGACCAGGCTCGTTTGCCAAGGTCGTATCCATGCCTCCCCTTATCCAACCAGAAGAGAGAAGAGACCATATCATCAACGTATCTGTCTCGTCTCCTCCGGAGAAGGACGAGGACTGTGTGGTTGCGGCCAAGTTCCTTGGAGACTCGGAATGGACCCACATCAAAGCCCCTATGGAATTGAAAATGTCATCTGTCATGTATTCGGACAGAGACCGGGTGTTTTACCTGAACACTCTCCTGAGTGGTGGGTCGGGTGTGGCCGAATCCGGCTCCCCGCTGGTGAAATACCACCAGAGACTGCCCTGTCACGGCTCGCCCGGCGTGCCCAAGTCCGATATCAACAAATTCATCCTGCACATGGTGGAATCACCTTGCGGCGAGTCCTTCATCATTTGGTGGTATACTATCGTTACCTTCGTTTTATAACAATGATAATCCGGATCACTTCTGAAAACGAAACATGGGCAGGTTCTTGGGCGACAAGTCAGAAGGTTACAAGACCAAGCGGTTGATGGTGTTCAGGGAAGACAAGGATCAAGGGAAGGGGTGTTACACGGAAGACAAAGGGGACCTCTGCATTTTCCTCGGACCTAGGACCGATCACTTCTGTGTACGGGCGAGCATGTACCCCGGCCTTGTCCCCAATTCCATCTACTTTGTAGGCTTTCACCACTCGGGCGTCGACGACTTGGCCTCCCGCTCCATCCGCCTCCATGACCACATCACCTCTCATCCTCGGCTCGCATTCTGGCTTGCCCCCCTCCAGTCATCTGTCTAACTCTAGATCCTCTCGTGTTGTGCTAATTTACCTTAATCTATCCTCTTCGGTTCTGTCTCTATTTTACTCTTAACGTTTGCTAGACCTTTTTAACTAATGGGCTACTCGCGTCTCTCTACTTAGTTGGTATTTCGTTTATATAAAAGAAGTATGCAGAATCCATTGTCCAAGTGCAAACTGGCTTAAAGTCATGGCTTTTTACTTTTATTTTTTGTTAAACCGTGCAAATTTTTTCCAGAAGAATCCGGTTCTGCTATTCTCAAACCGGATCCGGTTAAAGAGAAGTTTTTAATGGGCCCAAAAGCCCAAAAACTTAAACCCATGAACTTGCAAAGAGAACAAAAATGGCTACGTCTCCTTGCCCTGCATCAACATTCCTCCAAACCTATCTAAAGATATCATTTTATTTATTTTAAGATAATTACTGGTTTTTATTTAAAATTTTTAGTTTTAAAAATATTATTTTACATGCTATTTCATCTTAAACCAAAATAAACTTAAAGGTTGTCCTTTTTCTAATTAAAATACATATTTGGATGTTTACAATAATTAATTAAAAATAGATGGTTTTTTAAGAAATTTTAAAATTATAAGTTTTTTAGTTTACATCTTATTAATATAATATAGAAAATAAAAAGAGTCATGTACAATTTGAAACATCTGAAATACTATTTATAATTACATATATATGATTATAAATTATTTACTTTTAAAAATAAAAAAAAACTCATGATTATTATCAAAGTCTTATTTTTTTTTATTTTTTTAGATTATTATTATTATTATTTATATTTTAACATTTTTCATAATAATATTATAAATTAATATTTATAATTAATAAATGATTTTTTCTATTTTGTATTGGTCCCAAATATTTTTTAGATGGCTCTGTCTATGTTTAGTTTTTTTGTGTAATGTCTTCAAGAAAATTATATGTATCATATTTTTTATTCATGTATATGTCATCGTAGAATATGAATATTTCATCAATTATTTGAGATATGTGTTAAGTGGGATAAAAATTACTTAGACTGTGTTAAGTGGACCGAACGGGTGAATATCCATTTCCGTAGAGCCATATGCCCAAATCATAGAGAGGAACTTCCACATACTAGTGTTGCTAAAATTTGACTATGAAGTTTTGTTGGTATTTTTAGAGTAAATGAATGGGAATTTAGAATCTCTCAAAAGGATTCATGTTTAACGTGTATTACAAGTATGGTGGAGGAGTTAAATGCTTGTAAAAGACGTGGTATGAATTGGCTAAGTGTTAGGGATACGTCGAAAGAGTTTACGTTCGGTTTTGAACGTGAAAGGTAATCTCAGAAAAAATGGGAGGGCAGCTCGAAAATATGAGCTGGCAGCCTATTTTTTCTGAGGAATAAAGCTCATAAATAAATGGGCGGTAGCTCGGGAAAACCGGGAGGGCAGCCTGTTTTTTCTGAGCAATTCAGAAATAAACGGGCGGGTAGCTCGACAAAACGGGCGGGCAGCCCGTTTTTTCTGAGCAGTTCGGATTGAGCGGAAAATCGCGACCGTTCGGGAAAAACTTCCGATTTCTTCACACCTTTCGACATTTGGAGTGTTGATTAACACCCCTGGACATCCTAACACAATGGAGAACAGATCTAATTCGTTTTTTTTTGAGAGATTTGAGAGCACTTTTGTGGTTGTTCTTGCAAAACACCCACAAAAGCTTTTTGTTCATCTTCTTCTTGCGATTTCTGGTGTTTGTGTTCTTAGTAGAGCAAACTAAGATCACTTCTCTCTTCATTGTATCTCAAAGACGTATTCCGGAAAGTCCTTTGCTCGTATAGGACGGAATAACGTTTTTAGGAAAGTGTATCACGCATTGAAGAGTTATCCGGTTCCTATTTACTTTTCTGTTATTGTTCTTCTTTTTATATCCCAGATTCTTAACAATCTAAAAACGTTACCCACTCGAGGATGACTACTTCTGTGAGAGATCTTACCATAGACTTTCATAAACTCGATAAGTTCGAGGGCGTGGGATTTCGAAGGTGGCAGAAGAAGATGCATTTCCTCCTGACGACGCTGAACGTCGTCTACGTGATAAGCACTCCTAGGCCGGAAGAAACCGAAGAGGAGACATTGGCAGCGGCTCGCGCACGGAACAAATGGGACAACGATAACTACGTGTGTTGCGGCCACATCCTTAACGGTATGTCCGATGAACTTTTTGATGTATATCAACACATAGATACCGCCAAAGCCCTGTGGGACTCGCTGGAGGCTAAATATGTCTCTGACGATGCCTCTAGCAAGAGATTTCTTGTAAGTAGTTTCAACTCTTACAAGATGGTGGACTCGAGATCGGTCATGGAGCAATTCCATGAACTACAAAGGATCTTGAGTCAATTCGTACAACACAAACTGCAGATGGATGAAGCCATCAAAGTTTCATCCATTGTTGATAAACTTCCACCGAGTTGGAAGGATGTCAAACGTTCCCTGAAACACAAAAAAGAGGATATGTCTCTTGAACAATTGGGAACACATCTTCGCATCGAGGAGGATCTCCGGATGCAAGATGGGAAAGGCGTTTCTCCTCCTACTACAGTGAATATTGTAGAGGATGAGAAACGTGGAGCCAAAAGACAAGGAAAGAGACCCTCCAAGGGTAATCCTAAGAAGAAGTCAAAGTCGAGTGC